CGTTACGTTACTTACGTACTACGTAACGTAACGTAACGTAACGTAACGTAACGTAACGTAACGAACGACGTACGACGACGACGAGACGAGACGAGAGAGAGAGAGAGAGAGAGAGAGAGAGAGAGAGAGAGAGAGGTTACAAACAATTTGCATCAGTTACATTCTCAATTGATTTTTTTGGTGTTCTCTATTCAACTTTCTTGTTTTTCAGCTGTTTTCCTTTGCTTTCGAGCATCGGATCCTTCATCACATTAATGGTGATACGCACAGACCAAACTTCAATTTTGTATTTTATTTAAACCCAAGTATGCAGTAATGTTTAGGTTGAAATCACCATTGATGAATTAATCCAGTAATATATCCATTCATTTCAAGTAAATCAAAAGTGCATTCTTTATGTGGAGCTCACACCCATAACCATTTACCATTTACCATTTAGCTCCCTAAGGTGTTTTCTTTCAAGAGAACACATGATTTTTCTCGTAGTTCCCATAGATTTTGCCTAGTTTAATTTGGAGAATATGACCCACCCTCTGTCTACCTAAGATGATCTTTGGTCATTTGCAAGCTTGAGGGTCACGATTGGAACAGCTAACTCTCATCTTCAAGCAGGACTCTATGTAGAATGGCTATAAATCATATAAAATGGTGAATATTATCAGTTATGTGTTTGGAAAATTTGAAGTCTATGGCTGCTTTTATGTATATAGGGGATAGTTTTGAAGCTTTTATTGACATATTCTTTTTAATAGACAGTGATTCGCTTTTATTGATATATTAGTTCAGGCCTTAAACCCGAAAACTTCAGCAATTTCAGGGGAGAGAAGAAGACCATTTGATAGCATGCTACAAATATGTATGTGAGAGAACTCTGTAGTGTGGAACTGTGGATTAAGAAACCTTATCTGATAGAATTATAATTTGAAGCTCGTACAACTTATATGAAACCCCATATTGCAACATTGTACACAACAATTTTTATTGTTCATTTTTAGTTTGATAGGCATACTGTAATCTGAGATGCCTTGTGCATGTCCGATATTAACAACTCTATGGGAGATATGAATCATGTATTCTAGTTAATATTGTTTGAATGGAGTAGAACCCATGTTTTATATTTCTACCATGCGGCTCACCGGTCTGGAAAACTGGATTTGCCAATTCCACTCTATTTAATAAATCATAACTATTTATCTTTTTTCTTGAGAAAGCATCAATTAAAAGGTAGATTCATCTTATATACGTATGTACGTGTATCAATGTTTTAAAATGCACTTGCATCCGCATCGTGAACTGGTGCATATGCGCCGCATCCCGCATCAGATTGCATCGCACCACATCTGTTTCCAAGGGAAAAAAAATTCGATTTTGCCCCTCATGAAGGGTCAAAATGGTCTTTTTATAGTTCCAAAGTTTAGGGAAACTGTTTGGGGGGTTATTATATCCTCTAAACATAGATTTCCAGCCACTTTTGTGGCTTTTTTTGCATCAAATCAAGGGAAAAAAAAAATTTGGCGAAAAATTTTTTTTCATCCAAATTTTCGAGTTGACGGTTGTTTGATGCTTGAATGTTCATTTGATACCTTTGATTGTTGATTTGGGAATGTTAAGTTGAATTTGTGATAAGAAATTGGGGGTTTCAGAGGTCGTGAAGAAATCAAGCACTATTTCACAGAGTCGGTAACTTTTTATTATTTTTTGTACAATAATAATGTTATACTTATTTTTGAGCCAATTTCTTCTTCCCAATCTTCTAGCAACAAGGATCCGGCTTGAAAATATGTTAAACTAAAAAATCCGAAAGATAGAAATTGTGTGATATGTTTGCTCTGTAGAAATACTTATATGGGTGGTATTTTTCGACAAAAAGAGCATTTAGCCAAAACTTCTGGGAATGTAAGAGCATGTCCACAAGCTACAGATGATATAAAAAAGGAGATTGGAGAATATTTGGATAGATTGAAAAAAGATAAAGAGAAAAAGAAAAGAAAGGAATTACTTGATGATATGGAATTATTTGATGATGTTGATGATGATGCTGATGATGATAATATGTCTGAAGTTGCTATGAGGCAAATGGGTACTCATACTCCAACCTCAACAGAGAGGGTTATAAATATTGGTGGTAGTGCTGAGAGAAGAACACCTCTCTTTAAGGGGTCAATGGATTCTTTTTTCACCCCTAGCCCCAAAATTGTGGTTTAGGGAAAATAAAAAAACAAAACAAACCACAATTGACAATAAATATAATACAGAACAAAAGAAGTCGGTATGTAAGTGGATTGTAAAATGGATTTACATGGCCAACATTCCTTTTAATACTATAACTCTGGATAGTTTTGCATGTATGGTCCAGGCAATTGGGCAATATGGCTCAGGACTTATTCCTCCTTCCCTACATGAGGTTAGAGAGCCCTTATTGAAGGATGTTGTATTTGATGTGAATAAAATTTTGATTTCTCAAAGAGAAGGGTGGGAGAAATATGGGGCTACGATTATGTGTGATGGTTGGTTCGATGGGAAAGCAAAGGCATTCATTAATTTTTTGGTTAACTGCCCAACAGGTACTTTTTTTTGTTAAGTTTATTGATGCATCAGACAAGTCACATGATGGTACATACTTATCTGGCTTGATGGATGAGATTGTCGATTTTGTTGAGGAGCAAAATGTGGTACAAATTATCACTAACAATAGTGTCAACTATGTTGTAGTTGGGCATTTCTTGACTTTGAAAAGGAAGCATATGTTTTGGACTCCTTGTGCAACTCACTGTGTTAATCTTATGCTTAAGGAAATGGGTACGGCATCTTTATCTAGTGGGGTGATTTCAAGAGCTATATTTGTTGTTGAATTTATTTACAATCACACCATAGTCCTAAGCATGGTGAGGTCTTTTACAAAAAAGAGAGAATTAGTGAGATCGGGTATCACTAGATTTGCCGTGTCATTTCTCACTCTTCGAAGCCTAGCCAAGCAAAAAAGTGTCGTGAGAACCATGTTTGCTTTAGAGCAATGGAGTCAAAGCATAAGGATAGGAGAAAAGCTGAAAAAAATTATTCTTAATACATCATAATTGCATTGGAGGTGGCTCGCTCTTTAGTGAAAGAGATTCGACTGGTTGATGGTGATGCGAAGCGCGCCATGGGCTACACACATGAGGCAATGACTAAGGCAAGAACTGAAATAAAAGATGTTTTAAAGGATGATGATAATATGCGTAAGGCTATACTTGAAATTATTGATAGGAGATGGGATACCCAGCTTCACAGGCACCTCCATTCAGTCGGTTATTTTATAAACCCATCTCTTCACTACAAGCACCCATCCATTGAGTCAGATCGTATAATAAATGGTGGGTTTTTAGATGTGCTGGAGAGATTGGTACCAGACAAAAGATATCCAGGATGAGATCCAGAGTCATGAATTGATTAAGTTTAAGTTAGTTTTGGGAAACTTTGGAAGAGATATTGTCACTCGAAATAGGAACACTACAGATCCAGGTGAAGGCCAAAAGCTCAAAAATAATCTTACTTGTCTCTTACTTTATGTATAGTTCTATTGTTTATTTTATACACTTAATTTTTAACCATATTCTAAATTATAAAATATTATACAGCTGCTTGGTGGCCATTAGATGAAAGCAAGACCAAATCTACAACGTCTCACTATTCGAGTGTTGAATCTCACATGTAGCTCATCTGGTTGTGAGCGCAATTGGAGTGCATTTGAGCATGTAAGTCCTTTACTCCTTATTCCTTAATCCTTATTTTTTGAATTTCAATTTTCTAATCTAAAATCTAATTTATTTGATTTCAAATTTCTACCATAGCTCCATACAAAAAAAAGAAATAGGTTGGAGCAGAAAAAGTAGAATGATTTGGTTTATGTGCGGTATAACGAGCGGCTTAAGGAGAGGTATGAAAATTGTACGAAGCTCAACCTATTCAATTATATGAAGCTGATGGTGATTCCATAAGTGAGTGGACTATGGATCCAAGACAAATGGGTGTGTTTGAGGGTGAGGATCTTACATGGCTTCATGTCGAGCTAGCAACAGAGGCTAATGAAGAAAATTGACCTAACAGTAGAGCACAAAGGAGTAGAGGAGTTGCTGGGTCTAGTCGCACTCGCACATTAGCTTCAGAGGTCGAGAAGGAAGCTGACTCAGAGGAGACCGATGAAGAAGAATACCTGGAGGCCGACGAGGATGATATTGATGATGCGCATGACGACTCTCAAGATGACTTGTCTGATTGAGATTTGAAAAAATGAAGTTCAAATTTCAAAATTGACTCTCAAAATTGATGATCGCATTAAGTTATTATTTATTAACTATTAACTCTTCTTGAGCTTGACTTTTGATTTGTATTTTGTAATATCATTATTTTGTGCTTATGGTTGTACTTATGGTTGTTAATGGTTGTGCTTAATTATAGTTGTGTTTATGGTACAGATTTATGCTGATGGTTGTTGATTGTTAAATGCTTTATGAAGCTGGTTTCAAGTTTCTAGTTTCTATCAAAAGATAGTGGATAATTGGATGCAGAATCTCCGACAACTAATAGTTTTGAAGTTAATCATTAACTAAAATACCTACTATCACCTTCATATTTTTCTCTATACATTAACTTATTTTTTTAGAATTTTTTTACATTTATTGACCGCATCATCGCGATGCACCCGCATCCGTGCCACATCGAGCCGCATCGGCCCCCGCCGCATCAGGGCCGCATCCCGCATTTTAAAACACTGACGGGTATAGTAAAAAATAATCAAATTGTCCTCGTTCAAAATTGGGAATGAACAATTGAGCAG